GAATATGCTGTTTTACATAACCAATCTGTTTATGTAATATATTACATTGTGTGTTCAAATGACAATAAAAACAATTATGTGATTTAATATCTTGTGAATAGTTATATGAATGTACAAACTGGTGTGAGGACGTTTCATTGCATTGCAAATTTAGTGGATGACATCAATGATTATGCAAATTGTATGTAAATGCGTAAATAAGGTCATCCATGAAGGTAAAAAGAGACCTCCATGGGTCATCAAAACAATAACAATTTCTCATTTTCGGGGGATTTGGATCCAATTTTTCACATGCTCCAAATGAAATAGGATTTCAAAATTCGTACCCCCGGTAAGACAATAAAGAAAACTTTATGTAGATTCGGAAAATTACAAAATCTAAATGTTTGATCAAAAACGAACTCGGGTCACATTCCTAACAATAAAGCAATAAACGTGATACACTCTGTAACAACTCAAGATTGGGTGAAGTAGGGTAATCCCCGCACTTTGGTCTTCTAATCGAAAAACAAACAAACTGTCACAGCATAAGATTTCCTATCGGTCTGTATATTTATTCAGCAAAGAGTGCCGCCCATGGTATCATATGTTAAGTGGATGGGAACAATTGTTTATTTGCGTGACCTGTGTGACCTGTCTAAGTTCAAGTAATACTTCTTGTATTGCGGTGAAGTAGTTAGGGTATTCGCCTCAAGGAAGGTGTTTCTTTGATCTCCGTTAGTAGTCCAATGCTTAGCAGACTGAATACAAATATGATAAGAGTAGGAGGTACCAAAACCTGATTGTTTTACGGAATAGATCAGAACGTTCTTTGCTCAACAAAGTAAAGGTTTTCCGCGGACGACAGAATTCTTTTTCTCGTCTCGTACCCTTGTAATTGGAAGTTCACATCTCAGTAATTTGGCTCTGTCTGTGTATCAGATAGGTCTTCTTCTACAATGGAGGTGTACATATGGTATTATTGAATTGATACTCTTTTGAGAATTTGCTAGGCTGTGAAACATGAATAAATTAACATGCCACATCACTTGAAGTTGAATTATCGGCAAAATTTCGTTTGAAGCCATTGACCAGTTAAGTGTGCTATAATAACTGCAACGACTAAGGTATTTACGGGATACGGTGTTGGCATTGCAAATAACCGAATATCACTGTGCAGTTTAGCTGTGAATGAGTTTTCAGCATCTAAGGATGTCATCAAGTCAACGAATTTCACGCGGGATTCCCTGTTTGGCTATCACGGATAAACATTTTTACAAAATCAATATTCGATGTAGAGCATTTCCCATTAAGAATAGTTTTAGATATACATAGAATTTTGAGTAATTTTCGATATCTACGGGGCGGACATCCGGGTATTTTCACCGCCTAGCAACCATGACGGTGAAAGGCCGATATAACTCTAAAAAATGTACTTTGGAATAGTTGTTGAGACTTTCCTGAACAGTGTAACAAGATTACCCTTAAATTTGGTTGCTCAGGACTACTTCAAAGTTAAGTTTGTTCTGTTTCCTTGACTTTGGAGCGTTTTGCGACGTAGCTCCGCTATAATGCTGATAACCATTATTTATAATACAATTATTTCATAGCCATTATTTATAATACAATTATTTCATGCATATATTACCATTGCATCTTAGTGAACCTCGAACAATGTCCTACCTTCTATCCAATACCAATTATAATCACAATCATATTCTCCAGCACTAATATTTCCATAACAACCTCCTCCCGTCCATATTGGACTGTCATGTTCAGATATATTCATATTTATATATTCATATACACTGTCCCACTCTGTTGGAGTTTCAAACCTTACAAGACTACCGTTACGAATATAGCACCAATCTACAGCCTCGTTCCAGGACAGTTGGTTACCATACAGCTGAAATGAGTAGCATCTATCTTTTATGTGAACAGTAGGCGATATATCGCCGTTGTTGTCCGTTACACTGGAACATCCGAGTTGTTCAGTTGGTGTGGTGTACGTTGTAGTATGGTGTGTTGAAGTACTTATCGTACGTTGTGTATTTGTTGTAACATCAATGGCGTCTGTAGGATATAGATACATACATTGTTACAGTAATTTTTAATAATATGTGTGTGATGTCTACGTATCTATTGAATCTGACTACTTACAGACTAGAATTTTTTTTTAATTGTTTTTATTATGTAAGAAATTTGTTTCTTGGTTAAGTTACTCTAATATATTTGTGATATGTTTGTTCATACTATTCCAGACACACCTTTCACAGGTAAATGATATTACAAGCTTTTCGAACATAAAATACACATGTTCGAATGTTATTTAATTTCAAAACTAACTGGCTAAGATTCGCTAGCTTGTTACATTCAATAGACGGTTAGACTGATCAAATTATATTAGATGTTATTATTGTCATTGTCATAACTGTGTTATGATATAATGATTAGCGATACATCTTTGAAAGGCTTCAGAAAAATGAACGAACCACAGCATAACATTATTTAGATTGTCTATCCCATATTGGCATTACTTAAATTGAAAGATTAGTACAATTATACAATCTAGGTCATATACACCTAGAGAAATGCAATTCACCAACTAACATTTAGTTGTGAATATAATGATATGTGGTTTGTTTTTATATTTGGTTAGTATTTAATTAATTCAATCAACAATGGGGAAAAATGTTGAAATGTATTACATTCACATTCAATTATAACATATTCTGATAGATTCATGAAATGTGTGTTACAAATATTAAAACAAGTGTACTCACCAAATTCACATATGTAGTTGGTTTTCTTATCATAGTTCTCATCGTACCATTGCCAAATGTCAGAAACTCGTTTCAGGACCATATTATAGCCTTTGCCATTGCCACCTTTTAATGGGTTCGGTTCCTGGGGCGCCCAGTTTTTATGTTCCATTATATCACCTGTTTTACCTGGGCGGCTTTCTGGTATAGAATAATGTCAGTCAAAATAGCTTTGTCACCAGAATGCATGCATGAATGAATGAATGAATGAATGAATGAATGAATGAATGAATGATGAATGAATGAATGAATGAATGAATGAATGAATGAATGAAAAAAATATATTCCATCAATATTTATCAACACTCTTTCCGTGTTGTATTTTGATAATTTATGTATTATACACGAGTTTTGTTTGTTAAAATAAACCCTTATTTCAGGTTGCATTGGATAAGTCCTTAGTAGTTTACCACAATAATACCAAACATGGTACACTTACCTATAGCCCAGTACCAATTGTCATTATTATCACAGTCTCCTTTAGTAACGTCCCCTGTGCACTCGCCAGCCGTCCAGAAATCTTCGGTCTTTGTATAATTCTGAATGTTGATATGCTCAATGACGTCACTCTCTTCCTGCAGTGTTTCAAACTTAACGAGGTAACCGTTTTGTGATATGCACCAATCGACAGCCTCGTTCCATTGCCTGTTATGACTACCCTCTGCTTGGAACCAGTAGCACTTGTCTCCGAGTGGTGTCGTGGCGACAACATCTCCGATATTATCGTTGATGGTTGGACACACAGTGACACCAATTGCGCCTGAAATAAATGTAATAAAATCATTTATGACGTCACTGAAATGTCGTCGTTCAGCGTGAAAATGATTCCTAAGTTGCTGGCAAAACATTATATTTCAGAGATGTTGTGAATGATGACCAAAGCTGCAGAGAGCTGCCCTTGTGAAAACAAACATACATTTTTACTGTAAACGTTTGCCCGGTTCCACTAGCTACATGTGAATATGTTATTATTAACGTGTTTGTAAAAGTACCAAAGTGGAGATGTAGTCCGTTTCCTATCATTTATAATATATATGTTTTGTATGTAAATGTTATGAATTGGATTATGAGTAATGTCACTCTCAATATGCATGTATATTTCCCGTGGTTTGTGTCTTCATATGAAATTGTTGATAACGATTGAACAGTCATATGATTCTCTATAATTGGAGATTGGGGCACTCGTATGGTGTTCACGAGCAAAGTGCATTCGAATTTCGATAATATTGCACGTGCTGCATATGTTACATGGACACATCAACCACGGAGCGTCGTGGCAAACACTCCTTTTATATGATATTGTCATCCTAATATTTCAGCAGTTATACGAAATAAGTGATAATACGAACATCATAACGATGTAAATACAAAATTACACGTTGAAAGAATAAATAAACCAATTCATAGCCACCTTGTATGTTGATGAGTGTGGCCAGCAAAATAATCACAGCAATATAATCCCTACCATCCTTACTGCTGACAATTTCTGGGGGAACCATCTTCAAATCGAGTAAATGTGATGTGATGCTGCACGTACAATCAGTACGAATTATCTTGCCGGCGACACTTGTAGACACAGCATGGGTTAAATACTTGAATACGAAGATACGATCGTCTGATATGTTATCGTATGAACTTCACAATATCGATGACCAGGTCGATATTATGGTTGTGTTGCCTGAATACAAAGGACGCTGTAATAATTGTGTTGGAAAGTTCTGTGGTAAAAATAATCATCGGCAAATTGTTATAAAATCCAGTCCTAAGATGGAAGCTTTTGTTTTGTAGATGAGGGATGAAAAAGCCGGCTTTAACCTAGAGAGTTTCATTTTGGTGTGAGGGATGCGAAATTGTTAAAATGTTGTTGTTGACACGCACCATCTTTTATTGGGATTATTTATTGCTTTATATATCCACAATCTTAGATATGATATGAACGACAGTTATAATAACTAGGGTCACCGAGTCCATCTTGAAGAGATACCACAGTTTCCATTATCAGTAGTACAAATGTACTGGTGTTTGAAAGGCATACGCACGTGTTTGATCACTGAATGTTATGAAAGATCCCAAGTGGATTGGGGAGTGGGTTAGAGAGTGGTGTTTTCCGCGACTGCGTATACCGCCTATATATTAATTATAATTATATATAATAATTATCGTTCATTTACTAGATGGAAAACATCTGAATATTGACAGAGGCGGCGGCAGCGTTTTTTGACTGTAGGGCGAAGATTGTATGTGAATGTCAACAAATCGAGCGCCGAAGGCATGCTCCACCGGGAAAATTTTGAAATCTAGACGCTCTGAAACGCTGCTTCCTGCATTTTGGGTGTGCATTTCTACCGACATCATGATTTGCGGTTGATTTTAGTGACAAATATAGATGAGTGTTTATCTTATTTTATTGTGTGGGCGAAGCCCTCACGACCTTTTTTTCCGTAGGAGCGACCGCCCCCACTGCCCCCACTGTGCCGCCCCCACTGCCCCCACTGTGCCGCCCCCACTGCCCACTGTGCCGCCGCCACTGCCCCCACTGTGCCGCCCCACTGCCCCCACTGTGCCGCCCCCACTGCCCCCACTGTGCCG